CATTCCTTCCCCGGACTGCAGACCGAGGTCAAAGCGTCTTGTGCCTGGGAATTCCTAGCACTCATCCGTTCTCACCCGGACGATCTTTCCCGTTGCAACTGGACAAACACTGGAAAGACCCCCAAAGCCCAGGTGCCTCCGAAGACTGTGTTCTGTCATCTTACTCCTCTCCTTGTCCCTTCGAAAGTCTATTACGTACACTTCCCCACCCTGCGTTCCACTACCCCGCCACAACTGATCAGAGCAGTGTGAACCAGTTTCAATCTTGCCTTCTTCATCTTGATTTCAACCTTAATTTTTAATTACCTGCTCTTGTGTGTCAATTTAAATGGATTTGCTATGCCAGAGACTCTTCAAATAAATGAGGTTCTAAATTAGTCTTTATGTAATTAGACAAGAACTCAATTATTTTAAACATTCTTACTATCTGAGACTTGCACAAAAATAAGCTTTGGGCACTAATAGTTTACAAGTCTGTTGCCAGGTTGTGGCATTAAAATGATACCGTACAAAAGATGTTGTTTGAATGATATTACAATAGCTGGACGGCCAATGACGTCCCAGCAAGGAGGACTGGGTGACTCCTATCTGAAAATGTGTTGAATATCTGTTCTTTATGTCATTAAAAAATCAGCACTTGGTATTTATCATCAATCTCACACTGGTAAAATTACAGATCATTATCACAGATACTGATTAGGTAGTCATTTCTTAGCATTAAAAACAAGAGACCATGATGTGCTTGCTGGCTGAGAGTCTTCAGTACACCATTTATTTTCAACTCCCTTCTCTTATTAAGCACATCGAAAAAAGATTTTCCAAAAAGATTCAAGTAATTGCATTTTTATTTTATAATTTTGAAAGTGGCATTTTATTCATTATTCGTCTACTTCTGAATGTTAACCAAAACGTAAGGATGCCACCTTTCTATGCAAATAACATGATTTACATTCATTGGCGTTTGGAATTCAGATGCTCCTGCTGATTTCCATAGATTGCATCTTTATTATAATTACAGACACAGTTTTCCTTCACTGTCACTGTATGTCACGCATTGTCAAAGACCGGGATGTGTGGAGAACTTTGCGATGATTAGCTCTGAGCACTGACTCAAGGCACTTCATCCGGATGTTTTAACGAGGAGCCTTTTCCCTTCGGTTTCAATGAAAGACGTCGGGGCTAGAAACTGCAGATCAGCCACGCACATGGCGTCGCAGAGTCTGCCGGGCCCGGAGTGTTCTTGGTCAGCAGCGTCTCCAGCAACTCCTCCTCTGTGTCCTCCCTCTGCAATCACAGAGCCCTCGCTCCTCACA